GATACATCCTCTCAAATCTTTGCTCCTCCGATTCTTATATGTGATGTAACTTTGACATTTCACTTGACATGTCTATAAATAAATATTTTTTGCGTAATTTGACAAAGCTTAACCTTAGCGGAATCAAATAAGTAGCTGATACAGAGTTCATCAATTAATGTTTTAGTGCCAAAGTTTGCGTTAAAGTATACTATTCAAGGTTTACAGGTCCAAGTATTTAAAGAAAACTCCATACTTCAAATCATTATATCTTAAAAAGTACTTTTCTTCGGGATTCAAACAGGGAAAATAATGTTTTATTGCTGAAAGATTAGACGTGATATATAGTGTCAAAAAATGTTAAGAAAACATGACCTATATTAGTGTAATTCTGACTGGTTGATGAGCAGTTCTAAGTATGTTAATTTGCATAGAAATGGCAATTTTAACCTTTTTAATAAAAGAAAATATTTCAAATTTTTGTTTGCTAGGAGAAACATGATATTTTCAGATGTCTCTTGTACGTGTGTCATCTTAACGGTGAATGGAGCATCCCGTTAAAACAGTGCTCGACAGATTTTACGGAACCAATCGCGGCTCACGATACAAATCGTATTGGCAACAAATCTTACAGACGTGTTGGTATAGTTTACGTCTGAAAGTCAAAAATCTGATAGGTAAGATACATTCAGAAAATTATGTGTATAGCATAGGACGTTTAAACAAAACGGTCACGTAAAGTGTGCCATATGATTTCCGTCGTTCTCAATCAGGCCTATCAAACCTATCCCTGAATGAAACTAATTTCCGAAGTCCCATTTCTTAAGGCCGTGTTCAGGCCCTCCAAAATTTTGATGGGTTATTTTGAAATACACCTTTTTTAATGAAACACTCGCATTAAAAAAATCTGCTAATCCAACGTCTACGGATCTCGCTGACCAAGAAGTGGATGTTCAGTTGCTCTTTGGAATTACCATTTGATCAAAGTAAAACTGCCACGATTCTGATTGGTCATTTGTACGATCCCTTACACGGACGCGCTTTATATTCAAATCTCCGATCTTGTAATATCGGAAAAAAGGAAGAAATAATGTTGTTGGTTTGCTAAAACTCCGAATTCGATATAATATGTCTTTGTTACAAGACACTGTACCACCTTCAGACTTTCCTTGTTACAAGACACTGTACCACCTTCAGACTTTCTTTGTTACAAGACACTGTACCACCTTCAGACTTTCCTGAATAAGATTTGGTATTCTCGATGTTCATCTGGTGAAATTCTTTATAATCACATTGTATCTTAATATAATATGAAGCTATTTCTTGTGGTTTACTGGACAATTGAAATGGTAAGAAAATGAGAGTGTATTTTATCACCCAAACTTAAGCCTCGGTAGTTGTTCGATATGAAACTACCAAACTTAAGCCTCGGTAGTTGTTCGATATGAAACTACCAAACTTAAGCCTCGGTAGTTGTTCGATATGAAACTAAGATATTTTTTTTTCAGATATGATGTTTGCATAATATGGATGTATATGTATGTGTCAAGCTTATGATGTCACACAACCACCACCATAACATTTAAAGTATTGATTAAATCATTAAGGCTAATGCCGATGACCTGGCTTGTATTGTATGCTGAGTTTATCTTAAGTCGTACTCTGAGCGGGTAGAAACCTCATTGTGTGGTATGTCAAAGCACTTGCCATATATAATGTTTCAATAAGAAAATTTCATTTAAAATGTTCGTTACTCTGTTAAGTAAAGAGTTGTTTTAGTAACTGTTATCTCACACACAAAGCAGGATTATTCAGGGCAATATCATTATATAAGGTATGGTGGTTTGTAAATACAGCTTACATTATTAGTTTAAAAGTTTTTACAAAACTGTTGATCTCATAGTTACGTTTAACCACACGTGTATAAGTTTCGTGAGAATAAATGGCCCAGGGATATAACAATCTATGTTAAACGAGGGTAAGTGTGAGTGACGTCTGGTTTTTATCAGAATCTAAGAAAATAAAGAAACTTTTAGCGTCATGAGAAACAGCAATATATTGTTTTATTCTTATGCCAAAAATTACCTTGTATGTTTCCAATTACGAATCATATTCAAAACAAAATGGGGAGAATTATTGTGCTTTAGACTACAAATCTGTTATATATATATATATAAATATATTCATTTTAATTTGATTGTTTTTAATTATTCAAATTTTGCTTCATGTTTTTTTTCTTCTATTTTTTATTCCCAGTCACTTGAAGGGACATTCCATAATCATTTGTCCATAAAAAACAACAGAAGTGGTCATTAATAGATGATATATAACCATTTTACAACAGTTTGTTTGATTTAGTGTTGTTGTGTGATGAGAAATTGCAAGACAGGTGTACATATAATATAGAGAAACGGAGAAAGAAAGGAAGTTTAATAAGATATTGGTTTTATTATGTAACTGTTTAGAATTTTTGTAACAAATAAAATTGTATTACATTTGAAACAGAATCTCTCTCTCTCTCTATTTTTCCAGGATGAACGAATTGTTTGCTCACATACATTTCTTTATCGTACTTTAATGGACGTAGCGTGTATGTCAGTATCTATGTATGTTACCAAAAGTACAGAAAAGTCAGAGATGAAATGTTGATTGTTTAATGACTTTTCTGTATTCTTAGGGTGTGTTTTAAACTTATAAGAAGTGGATACAAAAAAAAACATTGAAGATGGGAAGGCCAAAAAAGTATAAAGATGTTGATGAAAGGAGGGAGCAAGCAAGACGTGTTCGAGAATCTCTCAAGCAAAAAAGAAGACAGGCTAAGAAAAATGTCGCAATATGTGAAGATGAAAATAGCTGCTTATATAGACATGTTACCTGTCAATAACTAGAGCTGCGACACAATACAC